CACTTTAAATTGCTTTTGAATTGAAAAAATTAAAATCTTAAAGTAAATGTTTAACAATTGAAAACCAAAAAGTGGATGAAGACTCAATAAAAATGAATAACAATTTAATTAACAAGTAAAATTTGCTTATAGTTGTTACAAAAAAAAAAAAAATTAGAGCTCATCTTCTTCAATATAGTCTACAAGTGCTACTTTTCATAAGGTCCATGATAACTTGAAAAGGAAAATAAAAGTTAAAGACAGAAATGCAGGAAGTTGTTGAAGTTACAAAGAAGAACAAAAATACAAGTAGCCTCTATTGTTTGGAAAGTGAGGGTTTGGAAGGACAGTATTGTTATTCTTATATTGTTTTGGAATATTCTCTAATATTTTGAATATGAAAAGCCTTCCTATGAATAATACTATATATTCATTGCACTTGTATTGCAAATATTTACTCCTAGAACAGGAAGGGTCTAAGAATTAAAGTGAAAAAAGGGATATGATTGTCTTTATATGATTAAGTAGGGATAGAATAGAAAATCAAAAAAAAATTCATTAGCTTCTTTTATTTCATTAATGATGAATGATCCATTTGTATATAGTTAATCTCATTTAAATACATAGTAAATTATCTATCCCAAAAAAAATAAATTATAGTGGATCTAACCCCTAAACGGATCCAAGTCTCTCTAGTAAATATTAGCTGTAACGGTGACACTACGTCATCATTGACACGTGGTGTCACCATTCAATAATCTATATAATAAAATATAACATAAAAAATAACTTTTATTTTCGTGGTTAAAATTATTTTAAATTTTACTTTAAAGTTAATTCGATAGATAATATCAACTCCCCAAATTTAATTGGGAAAATATACCCTTTAAGGTGTGTTTTTGGTGACTTTTTAAAAAATATTTCTAGAACTTATAATTTCTTATAAGCATTTTAAAAAGAAAAATTAGTTTTTGAAACAACTTATTTTAATTACTTCAAAATAAGTCAAAAATAGTTTTACCACTTAAATTAAATAATAAGTAAATAAGTAAAAAAAAAATTATATTCTTTTAAAATCACTTCTATACAAAATACTTCACCACCACCATCGCCACCACTCACCACTGTCATTACCTAACAATATTTGTCGTTGCCTACCACTACCCCCATTACTACCCACCCCCACTACCACTGCTTACTTTGATTATAATTGGTGTTAAAATTTCTTTCTCTTTCTTCTATATTTGTAATTTGATTTTGGATATTGATACAAATATTCAAGCGTGTCAAACATGTCGAGTCAGATCATTTTCGTGTCAGATTAATTTCGAATTTATGTTGAAAATCTCAAGACATGAACCTGACCTATTTAATAATTGAGTCGAGATGTGTAAACACTCACTTGACCTGACTATTAAATGAGTTATTCGAATTCGATTTGTTTGACACGTTTAATAAATAGACCATTTTTTTGGTTAACACACATAACATAATTTGTTTGACACACATAACACGATCTGATTAACATATAACCTATTTTCACACATATTCATTAATGTTGGAATTTGACTCAAACTCTCTAATTGTTATGAAGGAGAGTTTGTTGGGTAATCAATATAAGAATCCTATATGGAATAGGATTATGTTGGAATAGTTTTAATATATTATGAATAGGTATATTAGACATGTGATAGAAAAATAAAGATCAAGTAATAGTTAAATAGGTTTGAGTTACAATATTCTATCCCTATAAATAGAGTTGAGTATTATGTAATCAGTTACCCAGAGGACCAGATTTCAGTGAATAATATATCGATGTAGATTCTTGGTCCGTGGATGTAGGTATGGTGTACCAAGTAAGTATGCTGTATCGAATCACGTTATGTCTTTGTGTCATATTTTTATTGTTTTTCTATCTTTGAATTTCTATCTTCCAACAAGTATTATTTGTGTTAATTATCCGCTGTGTAAAACCAACAAGTGCTGTTAGAGCTATGTTCTAACAAGTGGTATCAGAGCTAGATTAATAATCCTGGTAGAATAATTAGAGCCAAATTGACGTTCCTAGTGTACCAATTAGAGCTAGATTGATGATCCTGGTAGAATAATCAGAGTTGAATTGACGATCTTGATGCACCAATCAAAACAAGTTGTTGCCAATTCAATGTTCAAGTTTGTGTTCATGTTGAAGAAGACTCCCTTGCCATACATGTGCAGTATTGAAGATGTTTCTTTAGGTTTTTGGGCTCTTTGAGTTGATGTCACGGTATTCCAATGGTTTGGGAGCTTTTGGGCTAATATAAACTCAATAGTTATGATTTGGTGTCTCGTGGGTTACGAGTCACTAGGCTTTTACCTTTGAATAGTGAAACATTCACTATTGAGACCTCCCAAGAGTAGGTAAGACGCAGGCAGAGATGCACAGATGATGCAAGGGAAGACACAGGGCAAGACGCAAAATCTTGAAAGATAGAAAGGATTATGATAACTCAAATTGGCAGTTTTGCCCGGGGTGTGAAAAAATTGGTGAATCAGAATTAATGGTGCTAAACTCAATGTTGGGTATGATCAAAGTTGAAGAGTTTGGATCAAGGGAGATTGTTGAAATTTGACTCAAACTCTCTAATTGTTATGAAGGAAAGTTTATTGGGTAATCAATATGAGAATCCTATATGAAATAGGATTATATTAAAATAGTTTTAATATATCATGAATAGGTATATTAGACATGTGATAGAAAAATAAAGATCAAGTTATAGTTAAATAGGTTTGAGTTACAATATTTTATCCCTATAAATAGAGTTGAGTATTACATAATTAGTTATCCAGATGACCAAATTTTAGTGAATAATATATCGATGTAGATTTTTGGTCCGTGGATGTAGGTACGGCGTACCAAGTAGGTATTCTGTATCGAACAACGTTATATCTGTGTGTCATGTTTTTATTGTTTTTTTATATTTGAATTCCTATCTTCCAATAAGTATTATTTGTGTTAATTATGCGTTGTGCAAAACCAACAAGTGGTATCAGAGCTATGTTCCAACAATTACTATTAAATACATCATTCAATCATTCATCTAAAATTTCAAATAATTTTTCACCAATAACATATCACATCTTATCAATGAAATTAACTAAAATACATTCAAGTTTCAACCCAAAAATTAAAACAATAACTATATTAGTATACTGTCATAAAAATGTGAAGAACTATACTAAAAATAATCATAATAGAAAGAAAAATTAATAAATAATAATGTTAAGACCACATCAATCATATATAATAGACAAACTATATTGCCATAAACCGGTTAAATGAGCCTATCATGAGTTAGGTTAGGTTCATTTTTGAATTATGGCAAATTGTTTAAAGTATATGAGTTAACCAGATCAAAATTGGGTTAATTTGATATTGACATGAACTCAACAATTTATTATAATTTTATTAAATAATAACTTTATTTTTTAATAATAATATGATATTACCGTTATGACCTGTTTGGTACGAGGGAAAATAGGATGGATGAAATATGGTGAATGAAAAGTAGGATGAAAAATATAAGGGTTAATCTCATTTTGCACCCCAAAAGATTGTTCGAATCTCAATTTATACCCTCAAAGATCAAAAATCTCAATTTACACCCTCAAAAATAGAAATTTGTATCAATGTGTACCCCCAAAGATTAAAAATCTCAATTTGCACCCTCAAAGATAGAAATTTATATCAATGTGTACCCCAAAGATAAAAAATCTCAATTTACACCCTCAAAGATAGAAATTTGCATCAATGTGCACCTAAAATTAAATTGATAAATTATACCTAAATCTCCTCATATTTGTCAATTAATCATTTAGACCTCTTCACATTTAGAATATTACTCCTACATCTTATGACATTTGTGCACGTATAACACGTAACTCATTTTCATTGATATCTATTAATATAACCGTTAAAAAATATAATTTTATCCTAACAAAAAATTATAATTTCATATTACCCTTTATTTTATAGGTTCAATATACTATAAAGCTCAAAATCTAGTTTACCATTTGAATGTCTAATAAAATATAAATATTTATATAATGTTTTACATATTACCTTTTATATAAATATCTACATTTTATTAGACATTCAAATGGTAAGCTTGATTTTCAACTTTAGTGTATATCGAATCCACAAAATAAAAGATAATATAAAATTATAATTTTATATTAGGATAAAATCATATTTTTTAACGATTATATTAATATATATCAACGAAAAGTGGTTATGTGTTACACATGCATAAACGTCATGAGATGTAAGGGGAATATTTTAAATGTGAAGGAGTTCAAATGATTAAGTACCAAACATGAGGGGATCAAGGTATAATTTATTAATTTAATTTTGGGTGCACATTGATACAAATTTCTATCTTTGAAGGTGCAAATTGAGATTTTTTATCTTTGGGAGTGCACATTGATACAAATTTATATCTTTGAGGGTGTAAATTGAGATTTTTGATGTTTGAGAGTACAAATTGAGATTCGAACAATCTTTCAGGATGCAAAATGAGATTAACCCAAAATATAATTTTCCTTTTATTTGGTTAGAAGGGAAAGATGGAGGGAAAGGAAATCCATCCAGCCCCACCATTTTTAATCCCTCCATTTTTGGGCAGAACATTTTTAACCCCTCCATTTTTGGGTAGAAAGTGGTAGACAAGTTGGTTATGATGGGTCCCACAACTTTTATGTAATATTTAATTATCATTTACTCCAAAAAAAACTCATTTTTCTCAATAAATTATTCATATTCTATTAAGGGTATTTTTGATATTTTATAAGTAATAATATTCTATTATTTTTTTCATATTAAATAAAATAATAAAAAATTTATTTCTTCCACTTTTTCATCTTTTTATCAAATATAAAATATAAAAAATCTCTTTTTTTCCTTTAAGAATGAAAAATATATTACTTCTATTTCTTCATTCTTCTAACATTCCATCCCTCCTACCAAACAGACCATAAGACTCAATATTCCTTCGGAGTTGGCAGCCGACTGGTGCAGACAGACGAGAAAAATGAATTGGCCGAAGCAACGTGACCTTTTCCGCAAAAATAGGGAAAGAATCTGACACCGTCAATTCGTTCACGGATCCAACGGTTGCCAACTATTAGGGTTTCGAACATTCTGGAACGCAACTCCCAATGCCACTATAAAGTCTGTCCATTTAGCTCAAGCTTCCACCTCCTCCTCTTGCTCCTATTAATAAACCTTAGTTCTCTCACCTATTTGCTCTCTCTCCGTTCTGCGCTTATTTAGTCGGCGACATTACCAAAGGGAGAGAAACAATGGCCGGAAAAGGAGAGGGACCGGCGATAGGGATCGATCTCGGAACGACCTACTCGTGCGTCGGTGTTTGGCAACACGATCGCGTCGAAATAATCGCTAACGATCAGGGTAACAGAACGACGCCCTCTTATGTTGGTTTCACTGACTCTGAGCGGTTGATTGGCGATGCTGCCAAGAACCAGGTCGCAATGAACCCCATTAACACCGTCTTCGGTAAGATCTAAGCTCTTCGATCTAATATATGCGTATATATGATCTGTTTTTTGTTGTTTTGACTGATATAGATTTAGTTGTGATATTACTAGATCTACAAGGCGTTGCAGATCTGTGAGGTTTTTTCATTGTGTTATGCATTTAGTTGTGTTCCTTAATAGTAATACTTAATTATTGACTTTACGATCTACTATTTTATTATACTTGATGTTAGTATTCTTGTTAGATCTAATCATACAAGGTTTATCATAGTTTAGTGGGCAAGATCTAATCTCAAACTATTCTTTCTAGATCTAATCATAAAAGATTTCTCATAGTTTAGGGGGCAAACTCTAATATCAGACTCTTTGAAATAGAAGCTTATATTCTTTGTTATTTTTCGTTCGAGAACGTATTTATTATTTTCTGATGATATTTGTGCAAGTTTCATTCCGTTCCTATGAATATATAGGGTCTTATTGTGTTATGCGCTAGTTCCCTAGACACATCCATATTTTAGACCCATTTTGTTTAGATGTTTTAGTTGGCTGTGATGTGTGCCATTTTGTAGCCCTATAGGTCCTCTGGGTTTATTTGGTACTCTGTCTATCTTTTGATAGAATGTGTATTTGCTGTCACATTAAAACGCACAATCGTCTCAGTTGCCCCACCCATTTCATTTTTTGACTACTTCTGATCTAAGATAAGATGTAAGATGATATATGTTAACTGAGCATGCAATTATGCATGGACGGAACCAAAGTAGGGTCTTGGCGGGCCATGGCCCCCCATTCTTCTCAGCACCCTGGACTTGGAAGAATGAGGTGCAATGACACTGTGCATTGGCCTCCTAAATCCATTTCTGCCTATAGTTAATAGGCTTCCAGTGTTCCCTTACTCTGACTTGGAAGAATTAGGTGCAATGACACTGTGCATTGGCCCCCTAAATCAATTTCTGCCGATGCCTTCTAGGCTACCAGAGTTCTAGAGTTCCCTTGCTTCATTTTCACACAACGATTATCTCTATGAATTATTAATTTTTTGATGTCATCAAAATTTTCTCATGATATATTATTACATAATAAAATGACATTGTTTTACAAGTATTACCAAATTCAAAATCCTAAATCAAAAAAACTTATCCAGATATAACAAAACTCTCAACATTACAAACCAAGGGAGAACGAATCAAATTTTCAAATAACCAGTTATTGTTTATTTTTCAGAGTGTAATAAAAACTATTATGTTCGTTTATTTTATTTTTTGATGCTGCGTTTGTTTAATTCTGTCCCCCCCCCCAAAAAAAAAAAAAAACCAAAAAAAAAGTCCCTGCAAATATGTAGTCACGTGTGCACACACAGAATATTATTTTTATTTTCAGGGGAATGTCCTATAATATGGACGCCAATCATTTTAGTGAGTTCTACAAAATATTGTACTTGATGGGTTTAAGAACTTATTACTTAATATTGTTCTGAAAGCTGGTATTATATTCTGATTGCATTCTTAGTTGATTGTAAATGTGTATGCATTTATTCGATTCTGTTAAGTGTGATTTACTTTCACTTTACATGACTATTCAATTTTCTTATGTACAAATGTGATGCTGTTTGCAGATGCCAAGAGGTTGATTGGCAGGAGATTCAGTGATGCCTCTGTACAGAGTGACATCAAGTTGTGGCCTTTCAAGGTCATTCCTGGACCTGGTGACAAGCCTATGATTATCGTTAACTACAAGGGTGAAGAGAAGCAATTTGCAGCTGAAGAGATTTCTTCCATGGTTCTAATCAAGATGCGCGAGATTGCGGAGGCCTACCTTGGTTCAACTGTGAAGAATGCTGTGGTCACTGTCCCTGCATATTTCAATGATTCTCAGCGACAGGCCACCAAGGACGCAGGTGTCATTGCTGGTCTTAATGTGATGCGTATCATTAATGAACCTACTGCTGCTGCCATTGCTTATGGTCTTGACAAGAAGGCAACCAGTGTTGGAGAGAAGAATGTTTTGATCTTTGATCTTGGTGGTGGAACTTTTGATGTCTCTCTCCTCACAATTGAGGAGGGTATCTTTGAGGTCAAGGCCACCGCTGGAGACACCCACCTTGGAGGTGAAGATTTTGACAACAGAATGGTTAACCACTTTGTTCAGGAGTTTAAAAGGAAAAGCAAGAAAGACATCACTGGCAACCCTAGGGCTCTCAGGAGGTTGAGGACTTCTTGCGAGAGGGCAAAGAGGACTCTCTCATCCACTGCTCAGACTACCATTGAGATTGATTCCTTGTATGAGGGTATTGATTTCTACTCCACCATTACCCGTGCTAGATTTGAGGAGCTCAACATGGATCTCTTCAGGAAGTGTATGGAACCAGTTGAGAAGTGTTTGAGGGATGCTAAGATGGACAAGAGCACTGTCCATGATGTTGTGCTTGTTGGTGGATCTACCAGGATTCCCAAGGTTCAGCAGCTATTGCAGGACTTCTTCAACGGGAAGGAGCTTTGCAAGAGCATCAACCCTGATGAGGCCGTGGCTTATGGTGCTGCTGTACAAGCTGCTATTCTGAGCGGTGAGGGCAATGAGAAGGTGCAGGACCTTCTGCTCTTGGATGTCACCCCTCTTTCCCTTGGTTTGGAAACTGCTGGTGGTGTCATGACTGTGTTGATCCCCAGAAACACCACCATCCCCACCAAGAAAGAGCAAGTTTTCTCTACCTACTCTGACAACCAGCCAGGTGTGTTGATTCAAGTTTATGAAGGTGAGAGAACAAGGACCAGGGATAATAACTTGTTGGGTAAATTTGAGCTTTCCGGTATCCCTCCTGCTCCTAGGGGTGTTCCTCAGATCACAGTGTGCTTTGACATCGATGCCAATGGTATCCTTAATGTGTCTGCTGAGGACAAGACCACTGGGCAGAAGAACAAGATCACCATTACCAATGACAAGGGTAGACTATCCAAGGATGAGATTGAGAAGATGGTTCAGGAAGCAGAGAAGTACAAGTCTGAGGACGAAGAACACAAGAAGAAGGTTGAGGCAAAGAATGCGTTGGAGAATTATTCATACAACATGAGGAACACTATTAAGGATGAGAAGATCGGCTCCAAGCTTCCTCCAGCTGATAAGAAGAAGATTGAGGATGCAATCGACCAGGCCATCCAGTGGCTAGATGCAAACCAGCTTGCCGAGGCAGATGAGTTTGAGGACAAGATGAAGGAGCTGGAGAGCATCTGCAACCCGATCATTGCAAAGATGTACCAGGGTGCAGGTGGTGACATGGGTGGCGCCATGGATGATGATGGTCCCCCTGCTGGTGGTAGTGGTGCTGGTCCCAAGATTGAGGAAGTGGACTAAGATGCTCGGCATTCTCTCTTTGTTTTGGTTACTTCAAATATTTGGTATTTTGCTATTTTAAGTTTCATGCACTTCTAATGTTTTGTATTTCCGAAAGCTGGTACATTTCATTTTGAGGCTTTGAAAGTAGTGGTAGCTTATTCAAAGGCATACGAAACTTTTTTTGGAGTTTCGTTGCTTTCCATTTCTCTCCAAGCTTTAATGTAATGCTTGGTTTTCCATTGAAACAATTATGAATGCAGTTATTTTCAGATCGTCTTTCTTTAGATCTTGTCTTGTTGGAAAGTTTTGCTATTAGTATGCTAGGTAGTTTCTGTCTCTCTTCATTCTTCACTGATAAATTGGTAATGTGCTTTTGTTAGGTCCTTTATGCCTGCTAAGTCTTATTAATTTGTTCAGTGGATCAAGCTAAGTCTTTCTCCTATGATTGAAATTCTTTTGACAGGAACATTGTTCTTCAGGATGTCACAACCAGTGTCAGGCCTTTGTCACATTCTAACTATTTGATCGACAATCAAATTATGTAAGTGGGCAAGGCGCAACATCCCCACGATTAACGGAAAGGGTGTGTCAATAATTTAACCCACTCAAGTGGGACTAGCTACTACTTGCCTTCTTCTTTAACCCTTTTGGCGAAAGCCAAACCCACTTGACAATCATTCAGTCTTGCGTGTTAGACAATGATAAAAGTTATTAAAAAAAAATGTTTTATAAGTTGTTATTTTGAGCTCTCAAATCCGAGTCACATTGAAAAGTTCTGGATTAAACAAAGTAATTTATGATTGACCGTACGTATCTGAAGTTTGATTTGCGGTGATTAGGAGAGANGTTAGACAATGATAAAAGTTATTAAAAAAAAATGTTTTATAAGTTGTTATTTTGAGCTCTCAAATCCGAGTCACATTGAAAAGTTCTGGATTAAACAAAGTAATTTATGATTGACCGTACGTATCTGAAGTTTGATTTGCAGTGATTAGGAGAGAGAGAGAGAGAGAGAGAGAGGGGTAATCTATGGTTAGTGTGATTGGATTGTGGTTGGGGTGGGGCATTTGGGAGAGAGAGGTGACGATNTTGACCGTACGTATCTGAAGTTTGATTTGCAGTGATTAGGAGAGAGAGAGAGAGAGAGAGAGAGGGGTAATCTATGGTTAGTGTGATTGGATTGTGGTTGGGGTGGGGCATTTGGGAGAGAGAGGTGTTTGTGTGCAACTTGGGTAATATCATTCAACAAGACATCAAGGTTGACCTTTAACAGTGAGAACTCTCCTACCCCCGAATGCCCGTCCACCATCCTCACCTGCAATTCAATTCAAAAGGAATTATTATTTGACTCCGCTTCCAACTAACCTCCATTTTTTATGAAGTGGCTATAGAAATTGGCTAATAATGGTGTGGACATGTGGTCCCTGGCACACCAGGACATGCACATTAAAAAANATGAAGTGGCTATAGAAATTGGCTAATAATGGTGTGGACATGTGGTCCCTGGCACACTAGGACATGCACATTAAAAAAACAAAAATTCATGGCTTCTGAGAGTTATACGAAACGAACAAGGCCATATCCGTGGCCTCCCCAACACCTATCAAAATTTATACCTTACTATTATCCTTCCTTCTGGGAAAAATTATATTTTTCACCCCTTAAACTATATTCGTGTCTTACATTACCTCTCAACAATCACACATTCACATTGCACTTTTTGGCAATGATTATTAATTTTGAACTTTTTACTCAAACAACTATATTTCTCACATTGCACTTCTAACTATGATATTATTAATTCCATATTGGCTTAATAAACTCAATAGTTGAGCCGACGTCAGATTTCAGTAATAAAAATGGGGGTTAAAGTATTATTTTTTATTTTATTTTTCGGTGACCTCGGGGCAGAGCAAACACTGCCTTCATGAGAAGTACCTTTTTGTTATCAGAGTAATGCTAGANATTTCTCACATTGCACTTCTAACTATGATATTATTAATTCCATATTGGCTTAATAAACTCAATAGTTGAGCCGACGTCAGATTTCAGTAATAAAAATGGGGGTTAAAGTATTATTTTTTATTTTATTTTTCGGTGACCTCGGGGCAGAGCAAACACTACCAGTAGCTGCCTTCATGAGAAGTACCTTTTTGTTATCAGAGTAATGCTAGCCAGTCCTCACATTACCCTTCCAACTATGATTATTAATTCCGTATTGGCTCAATAAACTCAATAGTTGAGGGGATAATGTCAGATTTCAGTCATAGAAATGGGGGTTAAAGTATTATTTTGTTTTTTTTATTTTTCGATAATCTCGGAGCAGTTGCTTTCATGAGAAATACCTTTCCCTTATCAGAGTCATGTGGGGGAAGTAATTAACTGGTAGTTGCCACCTTCATAAGAATCCACATAAACGATACAATCAAGGCATGCGCAATTGTACAAGCATCCTTATAAAATTGAGGGTAATGGAAAAAACAAAACAGGAATCAATACAACATGATGTATTGCCTTACATCATAGCAAATAAAGTCCAATAGCTTCAAGCTATAGGTAAGTGTTTGGAGTTTAGGGCAATAAGGATAGAGTAGAAGACAGCATTCAAAGCATCAAAACAAACAGTCAGCTCTCAGAAAACACCCCAAAATTGACTTTAAAATCTTAACCAAAAAACAAGAACGTGAGATCCACAATTCAGACACAACACAAATTACCTAAGCAAATTGTCGTGTCTGTGCCACTTAATCTAGTGGCTAAACATGATTTCAACAAGAAAATGACAATCAAATGCAATTCTTCTAGATACTAGATACTACATTTTTAAACTTCAATGCAAATGATTCCCAAACTACACAAACCCCTTGAAGTTGATTTTCTTCCACTGGTATTTGAAGAAATAAATTGATGTGTGAGAGGAAAAGGTTTCACACACAAATATACATGGAAGTCTGCAAAATGAATGGATGGTAGAAATATAAAGCTCCTCATTTGAACCAGATATCACATACAAGTTCAATATTAGGAGCTTTTTACAATCAATAGGAAGCAAAATACATTCTATCAAAAACCATAGCAACTACTTAAGGAAAAAGGAAACAAATGATGCGACATGCATACTTAGTTCCATAGACAACAACACTACATGGTACTAAGTAAACAACGAAGTTCCTACCAGAGCACAACAACACTACCCTTTCATGTTCTTCCAGAATGCCTTTCAGGTCAACATAAGATCATTGCCACCAAGGTGAGAACGAAGGCAAACACGAACCTCATGCTCTTCTGGCCCCTCACGGAGTTTTGGCACCAAAATCTCAAGCACCGTTCCTGGTCCATCATAGTATGCTTCTATGTTAGCATCTTCAGGAATCCGGGTTGAAAGTGGGATTTCTCTGACAAATTCCCCTGGAGGGCAGTGTTCANTGGCACCAAAATCTCAAGCACCGTTCCTGGTCCATCATAGTATGCTTCTATGTTAGCGTCTTCAGGAATCCGGGTTGAAAGTGGGATTTCTCTGACAAATTCCCCTGGAGGGCAGTGTTCAGAAGATGGATCTGTGAGCTTGAAAGTCCTGTCATGCCTCTTGATGAATGACATCCGAGATGTGCTCAAACAAGATATCTTTATGATCCCATGCGTGAGTGTGTTCCGCCAGGAAACTTTCACCCTTTGAAGGTCTACAAAGGGCAAACTAATTATGATCAAATAACCTTCTTCATCTTCATATATCGTCTTTGCAGCTGTGACAGGCCCATAAACGTTCCTCATTACCCCACTAAACTCGTTCAACCAGTGCGGCTCATTTGAATGAATTTCTGAATCTGGAACTCGATCAGAAGGGGTAGGAAACGCCAAATAACAATCATCATCATTTCCATGTGAGAAAAAGTCCTTCCTCCTTTTGCTGCTGACAGGTGATAGATCCATCGCATCCCCATTGCTGTGATTGGATGGCTGAGTTGACAAATTCAGTCCAGACCCATTAAGCAATTTCTTTGAGTTGGAAAGTGGGTTACCCTTGATTGGAGGCTGGGGTCTCTCAAGTTCAAACTCAGTGTTAGGAAGGTTTCTCCAGGAGCTAAAATCTCCTGCTTCCACTGAAAGTGTAAAGTTCAAATCCCTCCCTGTCAGTTCCATCCACCTTTTGCGCTCATCTTCATCAAGACCCATCAAATTGGGAGATGGAACAACTTCGATCCCATGAACACACTGAGGGTTTGAGAGGCCCCTGTAGTGCTTCCGTTGCATTCTATGAGATCGGACAAAACCCTTATCAACACTAAACGGAAAGGGACGTTCTCCCTGACGAGAATGCCCATTCATGTAACTCCTGAGCTGCATCTTGCCCAACGCATTCTCGGGCCTTTCCTTAAATACCCACATGTACATATTCTCCATGTCATGCTGAACCATGAAAACATCAAGCTGGAGATCAGATTTATCAAATCCAGTAACTCCATTACTGTCCCTAACTATCTTTGCCTTTGATTTCTCATTCAAAACAGGCCTAAAGTAAAAGCTAAAGAAAAACCAAGCACCCCATATGCTATCTACTCTTTTTGCACATTTCCTTCCGACCTTTGGGACACTGAGAAAAGTTTCAGTCTCATACATTTGAGACGCAAGCCCAACATCAAGAATATCACTGGGTTCTGCATTCCATGGCTGCGGAGGAGGGCTACGCTCAGATGACAGGGGTAAATTGATATCAGGCGGACGGGTTAGAAGAACTTGGCGGTTCATCTCAAGGTCCAATTCATCGTGTGATGATGAAGCACTTGAATCCATGGATAAGAGGGTTGATGGGTGATGGTTTTCCATAAAAAAAGCCTTAAGAATCAGAAGAGAATCTCCCATTTCACAAAATCTTCATTGGTTACGGGGCTAATTCTGATGTTGGTTTGGATAATTTAACCCCGGCTACACTTCAACAAAAAGAGCAATCTTGAGCACACCTTTATCATACTAATCCCAACTACAACAACCAACCTCCATCAAAGCCCTAGATTTATTCATCACAAAATACTTGCCCACAAGGTCACAACAAATCGACATAAAATTCGACAATAATTGGAAAATTTCCAAAACCTAGGTCAGAAAGAGAGGCATAGGATCAAACAAACCTATGAAACCAAGAGAATCCCACTAAATAACTAAACCACAGTTTTTATGAAATTCGAAAGAGATAAAAGAGCACTCCTTTTAAGAGAAAGAAGAGGGTCACTTAGAGAACTGGAAGACAGGAAGAAAACACGATCGACCCAGAAAACAAAAAATAAAAAATTTCTCGTCNATAAAAGAGCACTCCTTTTAAGAGAAAGAAGAGGGTCACTTAGAGAACTGGAAGACAAGAAGAAAACACGATCGACCCAGAAAACAAAAAATAAAAAATTTCTCGTCTATCAGACTATATAAGAAAACTAGATATAGACCATATCTAACGCTAACCCAGGAAACTCCTTAAACCCTTCAAAGATAGGTGGAAAACATTGAATCACACGCATCGAATCCATAGTCTTTATTTCAATCGTTAGAAGATAGCTACAGAAGATCCCTATCCTTCTAAACAGACACCAATATAGATAATACTACCAATCTATGAAGCCAAGGCCCAAGAAAAGGACCAAATCAGAGGGGATCTTGGAGGAGTACCTTTTGGGATAAGCTTTCATAACTAAGATCCCGCAGAGACCTGGACATTCTGGAGAATCGATGGCTTTCACAATCTTCATCTTCTCTTAGTCTAAACCCTTTAAGCCGTTACTAATACTACAAAGACTCTCTCTCTCTCTCACTTTCACTTTCTTCTCAGCAGCTTTGTCAACATATTCATGTAGAAAATCAACAGAGTCAAAAGAGAGAGACAAAGAAGACGTGTTTTCGTGTTTGGTTTCGGTTTAAGACGACGACTCTGGGATAGAGAGCTGGGATTTTATGAGGTAGCACCACCGTCACCGTGACGGTGACGGTAACGGTGACGGTGCAATATAGGAGAGACGGTGACAGTAACGATGACGGTGCAATATAGGAGAGACCTAGTCTCTGGAACAAGGAGAGGTGAACACTATCCAAACCGTATAATGAATATAGAAATAGGAGTAAAATGAAAAATTACAGTTTAATTAAATTAAGTTATCATGTAAAACCGATGAAGTGATTTAATGGATTCGAATTTGAATCAACCGAATTAAATTTGGAATTAATCCTAATTTGTAAATTTGTTTTCTAAAATATTTTGACTCTATTATATATAATAACTATTTATTGTCTGTATCTGAAGGTACAAAATAATAAAAAATGATAAATAATAAATATATTTGTATTCATATCAAAAATTAAATCATAAATATAGAGAAGAGATAAATAAATTTAATCATCAGTTTGTAGTAGGGGTGACAGGTGATAAGAGATAGTAGTAATGGTAGGAGACAGTGATGGGTGACAATGACTGTGGTGGCGGTGGTGGTGCCAACAACAACGATGGTGGTGGTGGTGGTAGTGGTGGTGGTGACAGTGACAGTGATGGTGGTGGTGGTGGAGATAGTGGTGGGGCCGTTTCAAACATTATTTTTTTTAAAATATTTATGAGAAATAACTTTTAAAAGTATTTTTAAAAAGTTATTTCAAACACACTCTTATGAACCTATTTTTTATATTAAATTTAGGGTATTAATATTAGTCGTTAGAATAACTTTAAAGTAAAATTTAAAGGGATCTCAACCGTGAATACCAAAAGTCATTTTGTTTATCTTTTAATATTGAATTGTAAGTTAATTTATTATATATAATAATTTTATCTCATTAAATTATATTTATTTGGTTGTAATATCAAAAAATTAATTTTAAATAGATTTTTTTATTATTATTTTGGTTTTGATGGCTTAAGTGTTAATAAATGTTTTTGTTGGGATTGTATGTTTTTGTGCTGGCCAGTCGGTTACTTGTACTAATTGTTGTCTTCATCGCTCATCTTTGACATTGTGATGATTCTTAGCCAATTTAGAGCAAAAGTCAAAGTTTAAAACCCATGCTATTAATTGGTTTTTTTGCGTCAATTACAAATATTCAAGTCAATTTATACACATCTTGATTAATTATCTCTTCGATATAATTAAAGATAGGTCATTCACGACATTTCACGTTTGAACAAGATATTCGTGAAGAATACATTTCTCATGGTCTAACTCTAAGGGATTATCAAAATTCAAATTTAAAATGTCTGAATTTACAGTTCATCTAGATTACCACTTGAACTATCCATTGAGATTATTAATTAATTTTTTTGTGCAAAAGCAAATCTATTATAGGGGTAATGTCATGGAAATTCCCTATTATGACTATCCTCTTCTAGATATATTTGGTAAGAATTTTACTATGTCATTACATAGAAAGACAGATTACATAGAAAATTAAATTCATGATATCTCGTAAGAGTTTCGCTTAATCATTATCTGAGGGTAATATTATATTATCTGAAAAACAGAAAGTTATTTAACATTAGTCTATGACAAGAGCTATTTGAGACATTTTGGTAATGGGGATGAAACAAGATTGCACATATAAAGGTGAGATTTTGCATGCAACTCTTTTTTTATGGTTGAATTTTTTGAAGACAAATGTCCATAGACAAGAGAAGCTTAGGTAGGACAATGTCATCTTTTTGGATCAAACACCTGGAAAGTGCATTCCATTATATGCTTTGTAGTGACTCAAAATACAACTAGACTAATATGGAATGCTTCTAGTTAGTGGTGTCAAATGTGTCAGGTTAAATGGTTATGTATCGGGTTAAATAGGTGATAAGTAAAAAATATGTAAACTCGTATACGACCTGTTTAATAAACGGATAACACGACTCGTTTAACTCGTTTAATTTTAAAAAAAATTATATCAACAAATTTTAATACACCATATTTTTTATTGTTAATTGTATTTACCTCAAAGAAGAGGAATTTTTAGTCAAATTTCACATAAAAATCAGATTTGAAGGCTTAAAAAAAAGCAAGAGACCACTCCCTTTTATAGGCAAGACAACCTTCCCCATCTCCTCTCATTTGCCGATGTGAGACAAAAACAAAAGGGGTCGGTTTGCCTTTGTCATGAATTGCTCTCCATCTCATTTCTTTTGTCTTTGATATATTACTTTACCTTTTTTTTAAATTGATTTCTTTATTTTTTTTGGCTAATTTTTTAAAATAATTATTAATTTATTATTATATTAATTTTATTTAAACGGGTAAATGTGTGATAAACAATTTGACATGTCTCACCCGAACACGACCCGTTTCTTAAACGTGTCTGGCGGATCAACCCGTTTAGCATTCAAACATGTTAAGATCTCACTCAAATCCGCTTAATTTGTGTCGATTCGTGTCAATTAATCGTATTGTGTCGGATTTTGATAGATCTATATGTAGTGACTCAAAATACAACTAGTCTAAGGTATTAGTTATTTGAGAGACCAATGAATTAATAATCAAGAAATGCTTATATTTTCGTCCGTTGCACAAGATTTATAACTCCAATGCTACTCCCACCAGATCCCCTCCACTTCAACCCATTGCCCTTGTCCCCTATCCCAGCTTCCCTCCTTATATGTCCTTCCTCAGAGCAACTCCAACACAACTTACTATTTTAGCTATTCAAAATATATTTAAATATTATACTCTCTATTTTAGAAAATCAATTTTACAAGTTCACTTCAACTACACTCTCTATTTTAACTAACTACTTCAACTAATTTTTAATAATTTAAATCGAAAATACCACGTATCCTATCATGTCATTGTCATATTTTTTGACGAGCCCAGATTCAACTGGGTCAGACCCAATAAATCAAGTAAGCCCAACTCAACTAAAAGACAGGTTAAGCCCAGTTTGTGAATTTGACCCAACCCAATGTCCAAGGAATCTAGAATAATTAGAGCACGTGAAAAACAATTATCGGGATATTCATTCTCAAAGATCGAGACAACCTCTTATGACACTTATCTTTTATAACTACCCAGAGAATTAGTACATTTACCCTCACGTCACTGCCTTAACCAAGGTTAAGTGCCTATAAATTGTAAATTTTCTATACATGAGAGGAAACACCTTGAGCTTTATCTCTACATCTCTCTACTCACCCCTCATATAACTATTTCCTCTCTCCTAACAACCATACCCCTCCCGGAGCTAACCATTCATCTTTCTCTCTCTTTTGCCTACTATTTCATCAATAAAGACCACCGGCCACCATTGTCGTCTTTAAAGTGGAGTAGGTCATCCCAATCGAACTACTATATATCTGTGTGCTGACTCATGATTTTATTTTTTTTTTGCCATAGATTACTTATTTAATTGTCTCATTAATTCTCTTGCATCATTCACTTGATTGTTGATTGTGCATAAGTCTATTTTTATGTATCATCAGTTTGACACCATCTATGAAAAAAGACTAAGTTTTCTACTACATTACTACTTTCTTTCAAATACATGACGATCACGACTAAGTCGATAAATCAACAACTAGGAGACAACAACCAGGCTCACCGGGAGGAGGCTCTGCCTCCGCCCGCACCCACAAAACCATCCACTGCGATGACTTTCGTGATCGGATAACAATTTTTGTAGACCATGCAACTGCTGGTAAACCAAAAACAGGAAATCATACAGTGGATACTCACCTCGGGAGGCGTCGCCCCTCAGCCTATAGGAGGAGCACTACTTCCTCTGGCGAGAAAAGCACCGCAACCTCTCCACTTTGGGCGCCAAGCCGCTCCCCACCGTGGGGCCCCGTGCCAAAAGGCCCCCGTGCAGCGCTAGGGTGCCCCTCGCCCAGGATTCCCTCCTCAGCGCGCAGGAAGCTCACGTGTTCCCCTTCCTCATGTACCTGTGCAAGAGGATGAAGGAGAAAGTCAATATGTTGATCATGAAAGCCACTACAATAAACCAATGGAGGACATGCCCAAACAATGGGACGAGAAAATCAAGAATGTGCAAAACCAGCTCAATGATGCCCTCAACACCATCAAAGCACAGATATTGGAGACGGTGAATTACTTGGTAAGGCGCACTGATACCTGGTTTGTTGCAGATGTTGTCAACTACCCTTTACCCTTAAAGTTCAATATGTTTTCCATTGAGATCTTTGATGGCACCAAGGATCCCTCGACCATCTCGACACATACAAATCTCTCATGTAACTTCACAACGTACCTGATGAGATTATGTGTAGAGCCTTCCCTACCACCTTCAAGGGATCTACATGTCAGTGGTTTGCCAAGCTCAAGCTTTTTTTCATCCACTCCTTTGTAGATTTAATAAAGTCTTTTGTCTTCAACTTCATTAGGGGATAGCAACACCAGAAGCTAGTTACTCACCTACTCACCATCAAGTAGGATCGGGATGAAAGATTGCAGAGCTACCTCACTAGTGTTAATAAGGAGGCTTTTCAAATCGAGGAGCCAGACGACAAGGTGACCATGGCCACCTTTATCGTGAGTCTGCGTTCCTCCAGTTTCATGTTTTCTGTCCTAAAAGAGCCGTCATCTAGCATGCTCGAGTTACTGTTAAGGGCAGAAAAGTACATGAACACCAAGGATGTTACCAAGGCCAGAAGAGGTGAGTCTTTCCACGGGGACGAGAAGAGGAAGGACACCCGTGAGGACAAGTGGGAAGTAGAGAACAAAAGAAATAGAACAAAGAGAGTCTCTGTCAAGGACCGCCTTGGTCCCTTGCCTCTAAGAGAGTAATAAGTCTTTACGCTGCTCAATGCTTCCATGGGGCATATCCTATTCCAAATACATGATGATCCTACAGTACGCTGGCCAGAGAAGATGAAGACCGCTTTGAACCGTGGGAACCCAAAAAAATACTGTCGTTTCCACTGCGACCACAACCATGATAATGATGACTGCTTTGATCTTAAAAAAAAGACCAAGGAGCTCGTACGACGTCGTCATTTTCAATAATATGTTGTTGGCATAGGACAAAATTCGCCGCCTAATAGGAACTAGAATGACAGAGAGCGCCAGCAGCCCCTTGGAGAAATGTAGATGATCTTCAGTGGGTTTAGAGGATGAGGTGACTCCAACTAAAAAGCTATTATCAATAGCGGGTTTAAGCCGGTGGCTTTCATTTTATTTGTCTTTTATTTTTTCAGTTGATTTTTTCTGTTATTTATGAAATAAAACTCTACAAAGATTATTGTGTCTAGAACTATCTTGCTTTCATTTCATAAAGTTTGTAAACAGTTTACAAAAGTTAGAACATGATCTAACAAGAAGTTAGACAAAAAAATAAAAGTCGTCATATTCCCAACGAGTAGTCACTACTCCCCGAGCCATTATCATCAATGATTTCCTTGTCACCTCTACCCATAGTGCCTCATATGGGACGAAGTCAGAGAAATCAATAGAAGGAAAAGCTATCAAGCTCTTCATAACCATTAATAAAGGCGTCTGCAATGGTCTTCTCAACAACCTCCCTCCTTATCTCCATCTCAATGGAATGAGCCTTTGCTACGACACTCATCTCCTAAGCTATATGTAGCTTGGCCTTAGCTCCTACAACCCTCTCACGGGACGTTCGCAGCTATGACTTTGTTCTTGCGCAGGTAGTCTCCTGATAAGTCTTTAAAACGACAACCATCTCCCGAGCTATATGTAGCTCAACCTTAGCTTCTATGGCCCTCTCACGGGACATTCACAGACATGACTCTACTCTCGCGTGTAATGTCCTTATAAGCCTTTGCCACGACAGTCATCTCTTGAGCTATACGTAGCTCGGCCTCAACTCTTGCGGCCCTCTCATAGAACATTCACAATTATGACTTTGATCTTGAGTAGGTAGTCTCCTTATAAGCCTCTGTCACGACAGCCATCTCCCGAGTTATACGTAGCTTGGTCTTAGCTCCTGCCGCTCTCTCATGGGACGTTCACAGCTCTTACTCTGCTCTCGCGCAAGTAGTCTCCTTATAAGCTTTTGCCACGACAACCTTCTCTCATGAGTCAACCTCAACTACGCCTCAATAACCTCTTGTGTCTGCCCTTCTCTTGCTAGAACTTTGAATGCCTTTCCAGACTTGATCGTTCCTGAAAAAAAGCAGGGAAAATCGACAGCCACCTACAAGCATTCAAAAGAACAAAACATGGAGGAAAAGAGGGGGGGGTACAAAATCAAAGTTGGGAAGAAAGGCATACCATGAAAAACCCATCCATCGCGGTATTGATAATGCCCTTTGAACCTTGAGATCCAACCTCTCTGATATCCTCAAGAGTCACAGATCGCCAAAGTCACTCTTTGCCTAAATTCACATGGAAACATGGACACAGAGCCTTTACTAGAAGTAGAGCAACTATATGGAGCTACAGTCCCTATAGAAGACTGCACTGTAGTCTCAACTCCCACAGTTGTACAAGGGCTAGCTCTGATAGACACGGGAGTCTACATCGCCATGGGAGTCCCGAGAGTCTACACTGCCATGGGATTCTACATTGCCACAAGATTCCGAGAGTCTACATCGCCACGGGAGTCCCGAGAGTCTACAGCACCAGGGGAGTCCCGGGATTCTACATTGCCAAGGAAGTCTACACCACCACAGGAATCCCTAGAGGAAGTATCACGTGCCCCTATGCTCGTCTACTTAGTGCATAATGGCTTCACCCACCATAAGGGAAGCCTATACACTATCCCGAGAAAGCTCGATGTTTGAGAGACAACTCCACAGGCCTCGGGAGACCACACTCCGAGACTAGAGGTGTTCGAATTCTTTGTGCCTACTCCAAGGTAGCCCTCGCTACCATTTACTATACCATGTTGGAGACTATGCATGGATAGGTCCTTCACTAGCGAGGACGGAGGCGCAAGACGAGTGCTAATCAACCCTCATGACAATCCGCTTAAGTACATTGTCTCCCTTCACCTTACAAAATCCAACAACCAAGATGAATATGAGGCCGTCATATTATGCTTGAAGCTCGCATTGGAGATGGAGGCCTTCTGCCTAACAGCTTACAGTAACTCACAATTGATAGTCAACCTGGTAAGCAAAGGAGGAAAGGATGCAAGAGTACCTATTAGTGGTCCAGGTATTGTTAAAAAGGTTTACTTCCAAATCCACCATGTGCCTCAAGAGAAGAATGCCATAGAAAATGCCCTCGCCAAATTTGCATCTACTAACATACTCATGGGCCTGGCACCAACAAGCCCCCGCTAAGAAGCACTAGGGGCATCAAACTTTGCCCTCTTAGAAGAAGAAGGTAACGGTCACCCTCAGTGGCCCACTCGACTCCAACAAAGAAGAACTTAGACTTTCAGCTATGACAATTCAAAGAAATCTCAATGATGAACTTACCCGACCTTGGGGCGAAATGACACCACCCTTGATGAGTAAAGGGATTGTCCAGAAGCACGTATGTGGCCAAAAACTCGTCAAATGGGGGAGGAACATTAGCATTGTGAATTAGCTGCCATAGCGAGAAAAACCTAAGAATTATTATCCACCCGTTGGGAGCAAACCTCCTAGGAGCCAGCGATAGGCGCCCCAGAATCTGACAGATGGGTCTGGGTATTGGGAACCTCAAACCCGCCTCTAAGGCATCTTCATAGAGAACAATCTCACCCAAAGAGTCACAACATGCTGGCTCGTCCTGCTCCGCCTAATGACACATGACAGCAGAAGGGATACAGTATGAAGACACAAAGTGGGCGACGTCGTCATCGCAGTTAATCGAGCTAAAAATGGAGGTTAACTTCGAACCATCACCTTCAATGATCCCTTTACCTTGCTGTAAAGCCTGCCTAACATCCATTGTATCGCCCCTACTGGCTCGGGCACCTGACATAACAATAAAAGGCAATTGTGTTACACAATTAGAAGGTGGTACCTCAATCCCCTCCACAACCTGGTCCATCTACCTCTCTAAGCGAGGTCTCGGTGCCCAAATGTATCTCCCTCATGCATGGGTCCACTTTCCCAACGCTTGGTCTACCGTGAAGGGATCCACCCAATCTCAGGCTCCCATTAGAGTCTCCACTAATGGCCAGACCACAGACATGNCACAACCTGGTCCATCTACCTCTCTAAGCGAGGTCTCGGTGCCCAAATGTATCTCCCTCATGCATGGGTCCACTTTTCCAACGCTTGGTCTACCGTGAAGGGATCCACCCAATCTCAGGCTCCCATTAGAGTCTCCACTATTGGCCAGACCACAGACACAACTGCCCAACCCATGCCTATAGCTGGCGCCACTGTTTATTACGCCCTCGACTAATGTCTCCATGGCCTAGCCCAATGCGCCTAGGCAGCCACCAGCGCCTGCCAAAGCCAAAATCAAGTCAATAACAAGGAAATACATACATCGAGGAAATGAATAAGTATGGGCCCCAGATACCATACCTCATGAGCTCTATTCGTTTGAGTCACTGCCTAGCTACTTTCCTACATTACCCGAGTGCCCAAAGACGNGCAGCCACCAGCGCCTGCCAAAGCCAAAATCAAGTCAATAACAAGGAAATACATACACCGAGGAAATGAATAAGTATGGGCCCCAGATACCATACCTCATGAGCTCTATTCGTTTGAGTCACTGCCTAGTTACTTTCCTACATTACCCGAGTGCCCAAAGACGCCATTGAACTTACTTGCACATTTTTCGATGTTATGCCCACTTGCCTAAGCCTCCACCAATGTTGAATGTCGCGCCCAAGCCTCCACTAACGTCACCCATCGCGCCCAAACCTCCACCAAAGTCACCCTGCCCACCGGCGCTGCCTAACTTGTGCTCATCCGCCTTCCTACCAGTCTCGCCCACTCCACTAGCATCTCTAGTTGGATGCCATCTGCCATGGGCACCGTCTTCCCTCTCGTTGATGGTGTCTCCCACGTTGATGGTGTCGACTTCCCTACTGTTGATGCCTCCCATGCAGATGACGCCACCATCTACCTCGGGCCTATCAACGCCCCTACACTGCCCTGCATCATGAGTAGCTAAAACATCCAAGCCGAAGCCTCGTCTGGCGCCACCATCACCCGCTAAGTTGGGCGTCTCCCTAGGCTTTGTTATGGTGTTACCTGATGTGTCACTATGACTCGTTGTGGCACCACCTAGGTTCCTGGGAGCAACACGAGGGTCGTCCTCACCAAGATTGTGGACACTCGACATCGATTTGGTTCCCCCTAGCGCCTAGTCCATGACCACATTGTCATCAGCGCTCCCTACTGATCCTCCACCTAAAGTTTTCTATTCACCTTCCATTTCCTTCATCGAGACTCCACTCTTCGTCTTCTCCCTTGGCTCCATAGTCACCTCCTTCACGATTGCACAGTAGTTTGTGGAATATGAAATGGAGAAATGGAGGTTTTTAATTCTTAGCTCAAAAAATGGATATGTCGGGTTTGCCAAAAAATGATCTTTAAAGCCTGAGGGCAAATTACCTAAGTAAAAGAGGAAGACCACGTTGTCGAGTTTACCTAGCTATTGGAATATAGTCGATGGGACAATGGGTTTTCAACCACAGTGATTATCAATTCAAGAGAACGAGCTCTCAAGGTGCAAACAGAGCAAGAGATTGAAGAAGCTACCACCGTGTGGGACAAGGAACCTTTTTCAGATAATGAAGCTACCATCGTGCAGGACAAGAAACCCTCATCTATCCAAAGATTCTCATGCCCTCAACCTTTTGACACCTCAAGGGCTTGGGGCATGGGGGGCACATGACAAATGCAGATTCAACTGGGCCAGACCCAATAAATCAAGTAAATCCAATTCAGCTAAAAAGCAAGTCAAACCCAATTCGTAAATTCGATCCAGCCCAAGGTCCAAGAAATCCAAAAATAATTAGAACACGTGGAAAATAATTATCAAGATACTCAGTTTCGAAAATCAAGACAACCTCTTATG